ACTACTTGCGACCTTGCTTGATGGTTTCACGTATAGCAAAAGACTATACGTGGACACTTATGCATCGGGCATAAGCATCGAAAACTGAACCAAGAAGCAAGGAAAGAAAAAAACAAAAATGAGGTGAGAGAGGAGTCCCCGATCCATCTAAAACACCGAAAAGGAGATTGGATCAGTTCTCAAAAGTCATATCGAAAAGACCTGGAAAAGTAGGGCCCATAGGGCCGGTCTTTCCTAACAAACATAAAGGGCAAGCTCGCGCTAAATTTCCCAAACCCCAAAGACATAGGATTAATCAAGGCCACCAAATGCTTTTCCAAAATGTGATGTGTCCTTTCCCTTTTAACTTCTTTGGAGATTTATATGAGCTAGCATGTATATTTTTCTCCTGAGTGCTATCCTCCAATATGCCCTACCCATCCTCTCTTCATCGGGCCAAATCCAACTATCTTCTTCCCCATATATGTTGCGTGTTTGAAATCTATTTGTTGTCAGCAATTCTCGATACTCTTCCGCATTTTGAAAGAACCCCTTTGCTTGTGCATTTTTGTCCTTTATATCAAAATAAATTTTCGATGATCTAGTTTAGTGGAGCATAAAGGAATTCCAGATGATTGATGTAAGAGCGGAACACCAAAGGCTCGAGATGAGCTTAAAATATTTGTGGATATAAATGGGTAAGGGTTACTTCTAGAATTTCAGGAACTCTACTCTTGTTTTGCTTTGATGTGGGAAAATTCACCACTCTTATGTGGATCATAAATTACTAGTCTTATATGAAATTATTTCATATTGTGCATCATTCTCCCCTCAAAAGAAAACTTTTTAACACTATAGCGAGCAATGCATCAATAGCCCATTCAACCATGTGGAGCACAAGTATAAATCACCCGCCTTTCAATCTGTTTTGACCATAGAAAAAGTTGCTATGGCCAATAAGAGCTAAAAATTGCATGGAACATTTGAGTTTAGTCGTATCATTGCCTTTGATATCACTTGCTAGGGAGGGTTAAACACTGGGGGGGGGAGGGATAATTACAAACATTGCAATTTGCAAAACTAGCTCAAAGAAGAGTTTTTGAACCGCCAAACTGATACATTTACGCAGTGATGATCAAACCATTGGGAGTCTGATAAAAATGAAAAAGATTTTGGGTTGGGGAGGGGAGGGGGTGGTGTTCTAATGAGTTTTGATATTTGAGTGAGAACTTTAAAAAAAAAAAGATGAAAAAGGGTACTGATTTTGTAAATAGCAATGTTTTGAGTGCTATGTATGTATTTGCCCCCTTCTCTTTTTGCATTTTTACACAACCTGACCCTTGGAATACTGCCAGCCTGTCATCAAAAACATCCCTTAAAACTGCTAAACAAATCATGCGTTTCTCACCCCTTAATCCAAAGTTAACGCCACCATTACGTTCCATCATTTAATTTCTCAAGTTACAGCATTTAACTTTTAACATGAATTAGAAGTTCAAAAGGATTAGCTCATACAAGTTTAACTAAAGTAGCTCTCATCAAGAGCAAATATAAAATGAGGATTCATAAAGCTAATCCCAGATAGTTATAGTAAGGCTTATTGATGATTACCTCACAATTGTTTCGATATTATATTTCATACCAAATTGGATTGCGCCTTGTAATTTGACTAAACAAATTTTTAGATTATTTTTATAACCACTAATTCATAAACACAAATTAGCTCACACTCTCTGCATGCTAGAGAATGTTGTATTATGATTTTTTAATTGAGTTCACCTTCTCTAATAAAGCAGTATGCTCCTCGAAGCTCATCATTTCTTATGTCAAGTACTAGTTGTGTGGTATTAAGTTTTCATTCCCGCAACATAAATGCCCACAAATTATGCTTAATTATTAATATCCACAAAATATCCATGTATGTGTGCTTGATGACTTGACGTAAAACATCAATATTTTCACTAGTCCTCCTAATTTATTGTATGCATAACAATTTCTATTTACACTTGCCTTATTTTAGCATATAACAGCTATTTTTCACAGTTCTCTCTAGAAATTCTTCTATTTTATAACAAGCAGTTCCAAAGTTACAGGTTGTAATGAACATTTACATTGAGTTGCAAGGCACATTACGTTCTGATTGTCTCATTTTTGATCTCATCACTTTACTTTGAGTTGCATAAAGATTCTATTTACCTAAGAAATATAAGCAAAGACATTTTTATTTACCAATTTCATGCCCAACCCAAGTGAAGAGTCTTATAATCTCATCGCTGCTGCTCTCCTCACAATAAATCAAAACTCATTTTTTTATGAACCAAATAATGAGAAAATTATTTTACCAATTTTTCTTACCTTTGTGGTGTGTTCAATATCTTCTGAAAGTTTTAGTTCTCCCTGCAGCTTATCCACTATGACATAAAGTATATTCCCTGCTTTGTTCTGCTGGATAAAGATGGAAGAGCTTTAGCAAAAACTGGAGTTCCGAGCAGCCGAATGCACGTAATTGCTGGCCTCTCTCATCTTTTAAAGCTGAAGCAGCCCCCCAACCTTAAATCCACGGATTCAACTCTCATGTCAGACTTCACTTCACAATCCTGAAAAGAAAAAACTTTACATGAAGGTAGAGAAATTTGTGAGTCTATATGCATTTTATTTTCTTAAATAGAATGAAAAAAAATTCATCTTTGTGCTATGTGACCATTGCAGACGGAAACCAGTTGGACTGATCATTATAAATGATCGGTTAAGCGGAAGCGGAGGTAATGGATGGAGGATGCTACAAGGTAATGTTTAAATTTTGGGGCATTTACATGCATAAAATGGGGCATTTACATACATACCACGCAATTCTTATACATTTGAATATCTAACACCTAAACTTATTTTTATACATTTATACCGTCAAAAAATTTCATATATCACATCAAAATACCACCATTTTAACTTATAAAAAAGCTAATTATGCCTTTTAATGCATTGGCAAGGTGGTATATATGTAAAAATTGAAGTTCTTGTGTTAGATATGTAAATACATAAGAATTAAGTGGCATGTATGGAAACCTTCCTTTTTTTTCTGTACATTTCTTTACTTGGACTGATTTGTTATTTTATGTTACTTCAACGTGATGAGATGGTTTGAAATTTTAGTTTGCTCAATCTTGTTCGTTGATTTGCTGTTAATTCAGCTGATATTATTCTGATAATTTGGATGGTCGTTTATCTATGCATTAATGGGGAAAAATATTTTATTATCTCTCAGCTTAGGTTCAGTTTGAGGCAATTTTTAAAAAGCTTTCTTCTTCAGACACATCAAAAGTTTTGATGTTGGAATGCAGTTTTTACGGTTAGATTTAGGGTCTGTTTGGGGCAGCTGTAGCTTATTTAAAATTCGTTGCATTGTAGTTGTGGCATGAAACTGTTGCAGATAAACTGACTGTATGTTTGTTTGTTTTTTTAGTTTTGAAATAGTTGTGCTGCAGCTGTTTCTGAACAAATGATTTTTCTACCTCTGTACTATAGTGTTGTTTATAACATAGTTGTTCATACTAGCACATTACATACTTGAAAGTAAATATCTAATTCGAGCATTACAAAATAAGAAAAGACAACTCACTAAATAGTGAATAACACGAAAATTAAAATAAAAAAAACAGTTAGAATAACAATTAATAATATTGTAATATTATTTTAAAATGCACTTGGTTTATGTCACGAGATAATGCGTCTTTCAAGGAAACTCTCGTTGCCCGATCACTATCTGCGGCAGAATCCTCCAACCCATCCACCCACCTAAAAAAGTCACAACATTCTGCTCTTCTCCTCAGACAGCTGTAAAACTGTCTTTCGTAGCTATGTGGCTGTCGCGAAGTAAGCAAAAAACATTTTAGTCCGCAGTAGCAGTACAATGCTCTGGAGGTACTGGAATTCCTCGAGCTCATTTTTCCTGAAGGCTTAAAATGACAAAACACGTACCTTTAGATGCAACATTATTGAAAATGAATAATAGAAGTAATTACTTAAAGTTTTATGCAGTTGTGATGTCTCAGAGAATACAATATATAAACTAAAGAATCTGTCACTACAAGAAGACAACATACATTATAAAAAAAGGGTTTTTTGTTATCTTTTAATACCGAGCTCGTGTATGTCACATATGCATATCACCGAATAAGTCCATCCAAAAGAACCTTAAAAACCATAACATTGAAAAATGAGAGGAACTCAGTTGTCTTCATTGGAATTTCACATGCAGCAAAACCAATAGCGACATATAGGTAATCCAGAAGAATTCTTAAGGTCGAATGTCTTATTATAGACCTCCGAAACAAAAAAAAAACATGCAATAAAAATTAATATTACATATTATATTCACGGTTATCTCTTCGGCCATCAAAGTGGGAAGGAATGCATGTATAAAATTTGTAAAAAAAATTGAGATTCAAAATATATATTAGTTGTATAAAAGTACTGATACAACAAACAGTAAATATTTTCACAACACATTACAACTTAAGTAGCGACAAAAACATATATTCCCTCAATATGACCTTCAACTATATCATTTGCGATTCGTTTTTCAACTCTATCATCTCGCTTACACCTTCACTATTCTCGGTGCAATCTTAGGCAAATGAATTTCGACATGTGATAAAGATTGTCCAAGATGATATTCATATGCTTCAACAATGACATGTGATTGATCTTCACAAGCCCTGTTAAAGTCAATGTTGTTGTGTGATGGATGTCGCATAATGTAGTAGTGCAGAGTCATCATGGTGATCACAATATGCACTAATTAGGGAAACAAATATGTAAGCATATTATGAAGTATGACTCATTTCTTCTTCCACACTTCAAATATCATTTCAATGACACCGCTTAAGAATGAGTATCTCTTGTTGAACATATTTTTCCTACCCCAGTGACTTGGCTAGCTCTATTGAAGTCAAAAATGTGATATTTGGTATCTAAAAAATGTTTGATATACCCTCTTTGTAACAGATATTAAATATTGAACAAATAATATTTATTTGACATAGATAAAATGGTTAGTACTGTAGTGAAAACAATATCTGACTACTTGAGACGCAAGCAAATATGTAGGTGGATGAGCAAAGTTGTATTTCTTAATTCTTCTGGCAACTTTAAATATGCAACTGTCTTGTGCACCGCCCTCCCAACCAGCTGTAACAAAAGTGAAACACATGTTGGAGTCACATATTGACATGACATTGTGTGGGTGATTCACATCCCCCAATGAATGCAATCTTTTCATTATTCGAAGTACAAACATTCACGCGTGTTTCATCGATCGCTCTAATACAATTCTAAAGAATTTAACAAGGGTAGGTAAATTATTGTATTCATTTGAGATGTGGAAGTAATGGATAAATAGATTTACTTGAAAATATGACATATACAACGGGTCATCTGAAATCTCTATGGGAGATTTCAGTTGATTTGATAATTTGTGCTGAAAGACTGGCTAGAGCATTCAACGCAACTTAAAAATATTTAATGATTGTTTCAGATGAGTGTTGGAATCGTTTTATGACTCATCTCATAGATTTATTCTGTAATAAAATGTAGAGGGTTATTGCCAACATTTCCCTTGAATTCATCCTGGATAAGTCATGAAGTCTATGATTCCTCTATAGTTCCATCAAGAGATCGATGAATATGGATTGTATCATACGACACATATTATTGAATCTTGTTGGGTGTTCTACAAGCAACTCCCCAACCCACTTATCACCAATGTATGAAGATGTCATGCAATGAGAGTGAGTTATGTATGAGTTATAATACTCTGACATCAAATTCACCGCAGTTGCAATTCTTCTTTTGCATCTTTCTCTACTTTCATCAATGTTATTTAGAGTCTATGTTAGCTAATAAATATAAGAATCGCCGAATTAGCTACTATGCAAAAATTATTTTAACGAAAACTAATCATAAATAAATTAGAGAAGCGGATAATAAACAAAAATAAGAATCTAAAGCAACATTAACAACATCTCAATGAAAAATCAAATATCCACAGCAACATAAGTGGTGTTCCAACGAAAAACAAATATAAAATGTCCAACTAAAAAAAATGAATTTCAGGTGTCTCGACATAAAAATAGCATAAATAATTGACCCTACTATTAGGGGTTATCTTCATAAAAAATTATCTTCGGCTCAGGTCTTCAAGCAACTTCATACAAAACAAATACAAAGACACCCAACGAAAAACAAATATAAAATGTCCAACTAAAAAAAATGAATTTCAGGTGTCTCGACATGAAAATAACATAAATAATTGACTCTACTATTAGGGGTCATCTTCATAAAAAATTATCTTCGGTTCAGGTTTTCAAGTAACTTCATAGAGAACAAATACAATGACGTCCTCATAAATTTTTGGTGTTGCCTCAAGAAGTCACAGAATTTCCTGAATGGATGTTGTTTGTGATGTGTCAGCGTTATTGATGCATGAAGCAACCAATTGTCAAATTTGGCTTCTAATGAAAGTATCACATTCAACGGCTGGTGGATTCATCTTCATTGAGGTTCGGGCTGGGGCCTTCATTGGAGTTAGTTGTTCGTTCAACATCCAAGTTCTCAGCGATGCCAACAAACCTTCCCTCACTTGGGGCCCATGCATTATTGTTCGTTGCCACGACTCCACCAAGCATACGGTCTAACTTGTCTTCCAGCTCAGGCTCGATGTTATTGTATTTAATTTTTTCATATTAGGGACCACCTACAAAGTAATGGGAGATAGATTTGTTAATTCATCTGCAAAATTAAAAATTGATAATAAGAGTGAACGTTTCATAAATGCTCACCTCCAATTTCTAGACATACGATTCTTTTGCAGCTTCAATTGTTCGCTTTATCGGATCCCAACTTAAGCTCGTGGATCCTCGCTTAAATTCTCTTCCAATTTTTCAATCCTTTTTTAATTGATCTTATTTGATTTTTCAGTTGCACTCTATCATACTTCCTACATGTACTTTTCTTGAAATTTTAAATAGTATTTTGTCAGTCCTTCTTATTAAAATAGGTTGTTGGACTATTCCTCAATTTCACCTCTTTAAGCCAAATGTCACATATAAATTTTGACATCTTTATCCCAGATGGCAAACAAAATAGTTTCTTTTGTCTTTACCATGACGATACTAACATGAAAAATCACCAAACAACATAAATGCATAGCACATGAAAAACAAAATGTCATTTAGTAAACCATAAATTGAGAAGTCAACTGAAAGGAAACTTCACAACAAATCACGTGCACCAGCCCTAACATCAACACACACAACCAACAACACCTGCCCCAACATCAACAACACCTGTCCTAACATCAACACACATAACCAACAGAATCAACCCCAGCATCAACACATACTACCAGCATCACCAACCCTAGCATTAACACACAGCACCAACAGAACCAACCCTAACATCAACACCTACACAACCAACATCACCAACCCCAGCATCAATACACACCATCAGCATTATCAGGAACACCAACATCACCACTAACAACACCAACCACACCCCCACCGCACCAATACACCACCACCGCACACAACACCTACACACCACTCCCATGCACACACACCATTGCCACAACTCCACCGCACTAACATACTAACACAACAATAACACACAACCACACAAAGCTTCCGGGAGCATTTTTGAAACATTCTAACGCATGCACATCACCTTCACAGATTTTCTCATACCTGTCCACTATGCCGCTCTATCAATTTCTCAAGGGCAACAAATTTCAAAATTTTTTTAGTTTTTCATCAAAAC